GTAGACTTTATAAGATTGATGAGCTAATGATTCGTTGCAGATTGACTGTTTGATTGGAAATTATGTCAATGGCAATATTTGTAATTGTGGATTGTTCCTTTTTGATCTGGGTACTAGCTAATTTGAGACCCTTGCTTTGAGTTTTACTGTTGATTCCCATATTTTAATTTTGAGTGGTTTTTAAAAGGGGTAATGTATTTGTTAGATCTGGATATAGTTAACTTTGGAAAGATTACTATGAATATCATCTGAAAATGCAGTATCATCTGATATAATCAATTTTGACATTGAGAGAAAAGGTTTATTTATTAATGTTATGCTTCAATGGACTTGAGAGCATATTGTACTGTGTACCTGCTCTCGAATGACGTGGTAATGATCATATTGATCAAAGGCAGAAAGAACTCAAAGAAGGGTCTACCTTTAGATTGTCAGCGTTTGTCACTAAAGTTGGGAGTACATGCTCTAACGTGCACCTAACTTAGTCATGATAGATTGATAGAAGGTTTATTATTGTAATTGCATGAAGTTGTGAGCTTCATAAGGAAACTAATAGCCTTCAGGTCTGTTCTCTAAGAAATAATCCTTTACTGGTGCTTCAGTGCATTTTTTTTTTTGTGTGCTTTATATAAGAGAAAGGGATGGTTTTTTAGTTATGTGTCCAAGAATTAATCTCGGCCAATTACACTATGTTTGGATAACAATGGAGAATGGAAAGGGAGGGGAAGGAAAAAGAGGGAAGGGAAAGGGAGGGGAGGGGAAGGGAGGGGAGGGAGAAGGTGACATTCCATTTCCTTCCAAATCTCTCCAACAATGGAGGGATTTAGTTAAATAAAAGAAGGAAAATGGATCCTTCTATTTCTCTCCCTTTTCCTCCTTGCATTAGATATCCAAACAATAGATGATGCATCCCTCCTTTTCTCTTCTCTTCTTTTCCTTCCATTTCTCTCTATCCAAACATAGTGTTAATGTTTATATATGATTAGTTGCATATTGTCACGAACCTTTCATTTGGTTAGGCTGAGCTTATTGATTCATCAATATATCTTTACCAATCATTTTATTCTGCAAATACGGTGACATTGTTTGTTTCTTTTTTCAAACGGGTTTTAACAATTTAAAGTAAATGGTCCCAGAGTAAAATATATGGAATTAGGGATGCTTAATTTGGAGTTGTAATCTCAATGAGACTAAGAGAGTTATGAGGAAGTACTAAATAGGTGCTTCGAGCTTTTTTTTTGGAGGGAAAGGTGTTTTTGGGCTATGGATGCTTTGATTCTCAATGATCAGGACTATACTATATGGGACTTAAACTTCCCCTCTGCCCCTCACCCGGCAATTGCACTGCTGCACTGGGCTTTAACTTATGCTGCTGCAAAAGTGTCAGTGGCCTCTTTTGCTTGGTAAAGTATTATAAAAGGCGGCACTCTTCAAGTTGAATAAAAGGGCTGCCCCCCGGGGGTTGGGGGGTGGGCGGGGTGTGATATAGCTGAATATAGTCTCAGTAGGAACAGGTTTTTAGAGCAAATAGAGACAAGTATTTATCCATTTAATATCAGCGAGTCATGAAGTATGTAGTAACTATGCTGTTGTCTTTATACGCAATTCTGACAAATATTTCAATATGGTTGTGGTGTGATATATTGTGGTCGGTAGTTCCCACTCAGTGCTCCTTCATGTGCTATTTCTGACTATCACTAAATGAAGTTTCTAAATTCTTGTTAGCATCTTTCATTAACCTACCTGACTTGCTGTTTCATAAAACTCAGGCTTCTCACTCCTTAAGGATGCTGGAAACATTTAGTACGGATACTGCATTTCCGGTAATTTGTGATTACTGAATTTTAGCGGTAAACTTTGCAATGATTTAAACTGCATTACCCTTAGTGATTGATGGATACAAGTATAATTTTATTTTTTTAATATTGAATCTTGCCTGAGCAGGGTGGCCTGCCTATAGTTATTAAGTATCAAGCTGATTGTGTTTTTAGTCTAAACCAATATCAGTGTTTAGCACTTACTTTTTGTCTCATGGACAGAACCCCTAAATATTCTCGTAAAAAATTATAGATGATGGGCTATCTTTTTATGTTGACGACCCATTAGGTAAGTGGCCATATATTTTGGGAATACTGCTGAAAGACTCCATCCCTAAACATGTGTTTTTCTTCATAATTTTCCATAACCACTTAATACCTCTCCAAAGTGGTATATATTATACAGTAATGAAAATTAATGAACATTTGAGACATTTGGGGATGGACACACATTACCATGGACATTGGCATGAAATTTTCTTCCCACATTTACTTAAAATGAATTAGCAGCACCACCATTTATTACCATCTACCAGAGTCGGTGATGGTTTCGATCTTCTAGTGGTGTCAATAAACATTATCCTACTTAATGCACTTGGATAGTTTGCATCCCCTAGGAGTTGTGATGGGCTATGTTATTCATTTGTTCCGATACATTGAACTGTTTGTGGCCTTAAAACTGTATCTATATGGTAAAGACATAATTTCAAGTGTTTTTGCTTGATTTTTCTTATCTGCTGCAGGTGCAAGGTGGAATTTTGTCCAAAGAGAAGCCACAATTCGTAGCTTTTGTCCTGGGTAGTACTCATGGTTTATTTATGGCCATATGTTCTTGATGCTAGAGGGAGTACAACTGACAATTAGAAATGTTAATATTTTTAATGTGCATTATTAATTGACTAATTGTTATGCTCATAGGTGGTCCTGGAAGTGGGAAAGGTACACAGTGTGAAAAGATTGTGGAGACATATGGATTTACACATTTGAGTGCAGGAGACCTGTTAAGACATGAAATATCCTGAACATGGGTACTACTACATTTCTCTCATTAACTGATAGTATGCTCTTGATATTTACCTTGTGAGACTGAATAGTAACTTGCAAAACCTTTGTTTCAGGTCTATGATTCTTGAAATCATCAAAGAGGGAAAAATTGTTCCTTCAGAGGTTACGGTCAAGTTAATCCAGAAGGCTATCAGTTTTCCAGACAATCAAAATCACAAGTTCCTGATTGATGGATTTCCACGAACTGAAGAGAATCGGTTGGCATATGAGCAGATTGTGAGTTTTCTGTAATGGCTGGCTTTTGTGCAATTTCTAACCTGTTTTCCTATCTTCTCCACTCTCCCTAATGTACTAATATATTTTTGTTTGTTTTTTTGTTTCTGTGAGTCTTTTTTTTTTTTTTACATGTCCTGTTTCTGATGCAGATTGGAGCTGATCCAAACATTGTGCTTTTTTTCGATTTCCCTGAAGAAGTGATGGTGAATAGAATCTTAAACCGTAAACATGTGCTTTGAATTTTAAGGTTAAAAATCTAGTTTGCTATTTTTTTCTCTCTTTATGGAAGCTCATGTATGTAATGAGTAATGTCTCTTCTTTGTTGTAGGGAAGAGTTGATGATAATGATGAAACAGTTAAAACTCGTCTAAAAGTGTTCAAGGAATTAAGTCTTCCTGTTGTCAAATACTATTCCAAGAAAGGGATACTTCACACGGTAATTATTGACATATCATTTGCCTTTTGGAATAAGTCCAAGTTGTAGTAGTAAATAGTAGTGAGCCAGTATTTTTCTGGTGTTGTTTGTTGCAGAGATTGTGTTTTGTATAGAACACCATGGGGCTGTGACATTGATAGCACATACGAAGTATCTATTATTCCTTGCTTTGGTACTACGTGGTACTTTTAAGTAGGTTTTTGGTTGATGATCTTAGTAACCCCAAAAAAAATATTTTGTCTATGCAGATTAACGGAGTTGGAACTGAAGATGAAATATTTCAGCAAGTTCGTGAGGTTTTTTCTGCATGAGGTATTTTCTTGGGGATGGGTGTCCACATGAGGCATGTTCTAGATAAGAGGGATGGCTTGAAGCTCTTTTCCTCTTGACACACACAACATTCTTAGGAAGAAACTTAACACCTTTAAAATCAATCAATAGGATTTCTGCATGAACCTTGACCATTTAGAAACTAGGAGAACATTACAGGGTTTGTTTGTCCTTTCCATTATGCTAACGTAGCCATTAAATTTGATCCTCCCTTGCTAACTCTTACTATTTCTTGCCATTTTCCTATGTTATCATGTATATTATGGCTTCTGTGAGCTTTCTTTCTGTGTTATTCTATAATTTTAATATTCCTTGTCTTTAATTGGCAGCCAATAATTAGATGATGGTTCGATGAAGAAACAGTAGTGAAGGAGATCCTGTTGTTTTTCCCAGAGGGATCTTCTTGGCTCCTGTAATTCTGTGAAGGTCAACCAGTGTCATTATTCAAGCTAAAATTACAAGTTTTTAGCTTGCAGCATAGCGTCACATCCTTCTCAAGACAAGAGGGATCAATACTCGATAGATACTTGGGGATTAGATGAAATCTTCTACCCCCAGTTCTGCTTCCATCTCAAGTTAGGGAGTGGATAAAATTACAAGTTAATTACTGAAAATGAAATACTTTGTATAGATTATATCAGTTTGACATGATAATTTTCCATTATATTGGGAATTTGGGAGGAGTGGATGATTTTTATGACTTGTCCACTGTCATCTTTTGTGCCTTTTCTTTTTCATTATACAGGCTACATAATATAAATCTATATTGCAAATCCTGATGGTGCAGACTATTGTCTGACATTCAACTGGTAAATTGTTCATCTTTGCTGACACTGGAGTGCTTTCATTTCTATGCTGGTTAATTTATTTGTTTGTCAACACATTATCAATAACTCAAACGTGTACAAAAATTTACTAGTTTTAAGCTCATGCATGCACAGATTTGTTTTAATTTTGTGCATTTAACTTGTTCATCCTAAATTTCTTTGATAAGTTATTCTTCTGCTAAAAATCAGCATATAAACATGGTGACTATCAGGTTAATTATTTTTGTTATTATGGCAATATATATTTGTACTATGTATTATATTTAAAACTAAAGTTAATTATTAATACTTCGTACAAGAGACCTACATCTTATTCATCAACATTAGAGCGCAAAACAGTTTGGATAAAGCAAAATTCTAATTCGAATTCGAATTCGGAACCCGAGATTTGACATTGATGATACCCCTTTTCACATTATTGTTGTTGGATAAGAGTACAACTTTCTATTACGAGTTTTCTTATCTCTTCATATTGTTCTTCGCTTGATTTTTTTTTTTTTTTTTTGATAGGTTTTTGTTATCTTGCAAAAATGCTGGCAACTTCAGCAGCTTCAACTCCTACCAATTCCTATTCTTTAACTATCAATCCTATCTCTAACAACAATGTTAAGAAACCCAGAAAACATAAACCAAGATACAATAACCCACATCTAACTAATCCTAACAAAGGCAACAATCTTTCATTTTTAGCTTCATCTTCAACCCCACTTCTTCCAATCAAACAAATCCCAGAAAATCAAACTAGAATTGAAGCTCTTGATGCAGTTATTCGTGATCTTGAAGAAGCAAGACTCAAAAATGGCATCATTGTTGATACTCAAACTTATTGTTCACTTCTTGAAACTTGCTTCCGATTGAAGGCCGTTGATCATGGGATTCGAATTCACCGATTAATCCCACAAAAGATTTTGAGCAAAAATGCTGGGGTTGTGTCAAAATTGCTTAGGTTGTATGCCACTAATGGCCGTATTGAGGAAGCACACCAACTGTTTGATGAAATGCCTAGGAGAGATGACTCTGCTTTTGCTTGGAATTCTCTTATTTCTGGGTATGCTGAGTTGGGTTTGTTTGAGGATGCTCTTGCAATTTACTTTCAGATGGAAGAAGAGGGTGTTGAGCCTGATAGTCATACTTTTCCTCGAGCTTTGATGGCTTGTGGTGGAATCGGGTCGATTTGTGTTGGGGAGGAATTACATAGACATGTTGTTCGATATGGATTTTTCGATGATGTGTTTGTGTTGAATGCTCTTGTAGACATGTATGCTAAATGTGGTGACATTGTGAAATCTAGGAAAGTATTTGACAAGATTGTTTACAAGGATTTGGTTTCGTGGAATTCGATGATCCTAGGCTATCTTAACCATGGATTATTAACAAAGGCAATGGAGATATTCCATGACATGCTTAATGCTGGATATGAGCCCGATCATGTTACCATATCAACAGTTGTCTCTAGGACTTCATCGTTGAAAATTGGAGGCCAAATGCATGGTTGGGTACATCGTCGAGGTCTAGAATGGAGTTTGCCTATCACAAATTCTCTGATTGTTTTTTACTCCAATCATGGCCTTTTGGATCAATGCAGGTGGTTGTTTTCCCACATGCCAGGAAAGGATATTGTCTCATGGAATTCGATCATATCTGCTCATAAAAATAATGTTCGAGCATTAACATATTTTGAGCAGATGGAGAACACTGGTGCAACACCTGACGCAATCACATTCGTTGCTCTGTTATCAGCTTGTGCACATCTAGGTTTGGTAAATGAAGGGGAGTCTTTCTTCTCACAGATGACAGACGAGTATGAAATCACCCCGATAATGGAGCATTATGCTTGTTTGGTAAACCTTTACGGAAGAGCAGGGTTGATACATGTAGCTTATGACATTATAACAAGGAAAATGGAGTTTGAGGCTGGTCCAACAGTATGGGGAGCTTTGCTGTATGCTTGTTTCCTACATGCCAATGCAGAAATAGGCGAGCTTGCTGCTCAGCATCTTTTTGATCTGGAACCCGATAATGAGCATAACTTTGAATTGCTAATAAGGATTTATGACAAATTGGGTCGATCAGATGATTCTGAAAGAGTGAGAACAATGATGGTAGACAGAGGTTTAGACTCATAGATAGCATGAAAATTTGACTGCTTTAAACTCTCGGATGATGATGGTAGACACAGGTATACCTGAACCTCCCCTCTAGTTTCTCAGCCTAAGTAACCGTCCTGATACCGGAGAGAATTCCGATCCACGGAAACGTACTCACTGAATGTTGCTTGCAGGAAGATCATTGTTGCAGGTTGTTTTCTTCTTTTATTACTACTATTACAAAGTATCATACTTCATTGCTTGTAACACTGAAACTGTACATAATTGGCAAGTTGCTAAGAAAGTCTATATTAATAAGATGTGATTGTTGTATGGGATGTTGAATAACTTTTGTCAATATTTAACTATCAGATTGCACGTCTATCTACCCATTACTTTGCTGCACCATTAAGACTTAAGAAGGTTAGGAAGAAGTTGGTCTATGTCTATACTAAGTACGGAGTACCAGAAAGTCAAGCTCATCTATGAGTATGAGACTATGACAGTGGGATTATCCCACCTAGGCACTTGAAATTCCAAAACGCAGTATTATAGTTCTCGTGTTCGGTTCAAGTCGGGTTTAGATAGCTTAATTCGGGTCAAAATTATCAATTCGGGTCAAAGATTATCAACTTTATTTATTGTATATTAGTAAAAAAAAAAAAAAAAAATTATATAGTCATTATATTGGATTCATTTTGATTGAACACTTGTGTTCTTTGCTAGTCCTTGTACTATCACGAACACCATATAATGATTTGGGAAGGGCAGTATTATAGTCTATAGTAATACGTGTAGATTTGTTATGACCCTAATGATGTACTTCTTGAAGCAATCATGATGCTGCTTAGCGTGAAAAACAGCCAAATTGTTATAATTAATAATGATCAACGAACTCCGTAATTCAAAAGGCCCCAAGCATACAATTAAGTTCATACACTGTGGACTGTTTTTAGGTAGGCTTTAGGCACTTAAAGCATCATTATAATTGAAAAATGGACACCCTTGATTGGCTGATGCACTTGAATTCATGAGTTATAACTTTTGAAGTTGCACTGCTTGTACAAATACATAACTAACGACAAAATGGAAGAAGTTGTTTATCTAGTCTCTTAGTGTCACGTATGACCTCCCACATGCAATTTTGACTTCTAAGTGTAGTTTGCAATTTAATGATCCGCACTGTCCTAATAATCTAAGATTGTATTTTTTTTAAAAAAATATATATAACTTCATAATTCCTACCTCTAACTAAACGGCCGCACACAAAAAGCCCATCCGACCTATTATTGTACACATCTGTTTCATACATGATCAAAACCAGCTTGCAAATATTGTTAGTGTGCCCATACTTGTCATTAAAGAATGACCTAGTAAAAACCAAGGAAATATTAGTTATACTAGCACTAGTTGTGAAATCTAACACAAATCCAACTCAAAATGGGTCCTCCCAAAAGTGGAAAAAGAACAAAGACATGTGAACACCTTACCCTTTCACTTTATTACCTTAAATCCAACCTCTTCACTATATAAACACAACCACCTTCAATATTATTGCATTACATGAAACTCATACATCATAATCACCCTTTCATACCTAAAAACAAATATCTTTCATGGCCACTCTTACTCTCCCCTTCCTAATCCTCTCAATCCTTTCTATTGCCACCTTCGCCGCCTCGGCTGCTGCCACATCCACCAACAACTTCATCAAAACAAAGTGTAGCTCCACAGCCTACCCAACAGTTTGTGTACAATCTTTGTCATCCTATGCTAACAAGATCCAAAAAAGCCCACGTCAACTGGCCCAAACTGCACTAATAGTGAGCCTAGCCAAGGCTCATTATGCCAAAGCCTATGTAGCCCACCTGGCCCATTCCAGTGGGCTAAGGCCCAAAGAATCTGGATCAGTTAAGGACTGTTTGGAGGTTATAGGGGACACAGTGGACAAGCTTAGTAAGTCGGTCCATGAGTTCCAAACCGCGGTTCGAGGCCGGTCTAGGGACTTTTTATGGCACATGAGTAATGTACAAACTTGGGCTAGTGCTGCTCTTACTAATGAGAATACTTGTGTTGATGGGTTTAAGGACCAAAATGCAAATGGTAAGGTGCAAAATGCAATTGAGGTGCAATTAAAGGGTGTTATGCAGTGTACAAGTAATGCCCTTGCTTTGGTTAATCAGTTTGCTAATAGTAAGTACTTTCCTAATAATGTATGATCATCATAATTATGATGAAATTATGTGACCTACTATACCAAAGATAATAGAAATTTAATGAGGTAATCTAAGAAAATTTTGGGGGAATAATTCCCCTTTTTTTAGTTTGGCTTTGTATGGTTTGAAATATGTTGTATACAATCTTATATGATGTATAGTAAAAGGTAAAGTAACAGTTTTTTTTATTGTATATTCATTATTTCTTGGATTCAATTAAATACCTCTTGATTCTGTTTTAGTAATTCTTCCAACAATCTCTATGGAAATTTTGTAATGCTTCGTATAATCAAAGTTTACGACTTTAAAAGACCTAATTTTAAAATTATCTGATCGAATCTAAATCTACGTTGCTTTGAGACTTGTAGGTCGGGGAGAAGATATTTAGTTTATGCAGAGTAGCTAGCTAGGTTGAATGTACATTAATATCATTAAATCGCAATTAAGTATAGATGGGGATTGTAAACTTGATAATTGAATTTAACGTTGGAGGCATGCCAACCATATTATAGTATGACTTTCATGTAATTGTTGGCATGAGAACTAAATGCAGTACGTTCTCACCCAACTACATTAAATCGATATAGTTAGATAGATCCTTGTCATTGTTGGATTAAGTACCATATGTTTGGGCCAGTTAGCCCAAAAATCGATCTAGTTTGGGTTTTTTTTTTAAATAAAATAAAATTAAAAAAAAATCCAAACATATTTGTTGTACACAACCTTCTTTTATTGATTTATAAATTTTTTTTAGGCAAAAGCTAATGAGCGCCCCCGGGGCGTTAGATAAGAGAATTAAAGTGCAAATATTAGAGTAAAATTAACATTAATTACACCGAACGACGCGTGATTTTGTCATGAATTCCTAACTTAATACCATTTCAACCAATATAATTTATCCTTATCTAACGCCCCGGGCGTTCGTTAGCAATATCCTTTTTTTTATGTCTTTTAATGAATTTTGAATAATTATAATTCTTTTGTTATTTTTTTAAGGTAAGGAGAAAGACTATGACTGTAACTCAACCGTCAAGGTTTTTTTGATCCGATATTTGCGAGTCAGACACTTTAAGTTTGAGGGGGAAGGGTAAGGGATCCCCACCCTTAAAGTATCTCTAGTGGGGATTGAACCCTTGAAATGTGACAATCTTACCACCTTATAATTGCACGTAAATACATACTAACAAACATAGGTATTAGAGTTTTTTGTTTTGACTACAAAAAGCTACCCCTCTATGCATCTCGAAGTAATAGGGAAATTTCCAAGTGAAATTAGTGTATGAATGGATGGTTCAAATTAATATTCAAACGAATTATAAGCGGCTAAAAGTAGTTGTATCTTCTAAACCAGCCAAAATACACCTGGTTGAACTTCAAGTGCAGGAAAATTAAAGCACATCAATTGCCAAGTGTAACTTGGATTTCTTAGGACATAATTTTTGACTAAAAATCTACTTCAACTTCTCTCAACCTTGAACATTTCTTTTCGTCTTTGATGTATTTTACTATCATATTCAAGGAATATTCTACAAAATTCAAGGCCATAACAATAGCTAAATTAAAATTAAAAAAAAATAAAATGGTAGTTCTACTTACTCAAAGCCTCAAAGGCACTAAGTGGTCAATTTCTTTTTACTTTGATAAGTAAATTTTTTTTTTTTTTTTTTTTAAATATTAATGAACTTTGTATGTATTTATGTGTCAATGAAACAACAAATATAAACATTTATTTACACTAATATTAACAATCGACTAGTATATAAAACATGTAGAATAATCTAGTCCAAAATATGATTAAAATATGATCAAAGGGTGATAATTTTTTTAGTAGGGTCCAATTCAAGAAAAGAGCCATTAGGAGACTAGATTGAGATTTCTTCCAAGCAATTAGGGGACCAATACAAAACGTGTTAAAGAAAAACCAAGAGAAAATTCTAAAGCCACCAAAGTATATGTGGTTACCAATCTCCCATACAATCACACCAAAGGCTCTCATTTTTACACATAAAACATCACCCCTTCATACACTACAAAACCAAACCCAAAGTAACACCTCTATTTTTCAAAAGAATCAAACCAAAGAATTTCCTAGACCACAACACAACATTAACTTCCTCTTTTTTATTTGTGTGTTAGAGCATAACTTAGGCAAAGGAAATGGCAATGGCAACTTCTACAATCCCCGGGACCGGGTTCAAAAACGCCGGTTTTGGACCTTCATTCGCGTCCGGTGAGAATTACTCCATGCTAATGAAATCGGTCTCGGTTCAAGCTCGAGTCCCAAACCGGCCTACCCGAGCACAACCCATGATGAAGAATGTTAATGAAGGGAAAGGGATTTTTGCTCCTCTTGTGGTTGTGACTAGGAACATAGTTGGCAAGAAGAGGTTCAATCAACTTAGAGGCAAAGCTATTGCTCTTCATTCACAGGTAGGCTTATACAAATCATATACTTGTATGACTTATTCATGTGTACATTTAAATGAATGTTTTTATCTAAATTTTTAAGGAAATTATTGTGTAGGTTATCACAGAGTTTTGCAAGTCAATAGGAGCAGATTCCAAGCAAAGACAAGGGTTAATTCGATTGGCAAAGAAGAATGGAGAAAGATTGGGATTTCTTGCATGATTATATTGAAGATTGTTACAACTTTTGTAATGATAATTTGTTTAGATATTGTCATTTGGGCATGTTGAGACCTTTGTGTAAAAGCTTATATACATTTCATGATATAGATGTATTTTGTAGATTTCATAGTTGGAATTTTTATATTGCTTTAATTTTGCCAAACAAAAGAAGCATGATTTTCTCACATATGTTGAGAAATGATCTAATAATCTTATTTTGGAGATTAAAAAAAATTTAACTAATGATTTATCAATACTAATTAATTATTAATAATAATGGTGTAGTCCGTACTTGTTAGTGAAATTTATCTTTTTAAAAAAATTATTATTTTTTGAAATGAATTTAAAGGGAAAAAATGAGTGAATTATAAAAAACCATACATAGAGTATGATCTACCAACCATATCCCTCCAAGTGGGAAATGAACCTCATGTTAATGAGCCAAATCTCAGCCACAAAGTGGGATTCGTCAAATAAATATCTTTCATGTACAACATATTCATGGCTCCACCAATATAAACAAGAATAACTACACATTAGACACGTACTAACATAATATAACAATGCTGAGCTGTTTTTTTTTTTTTTTTTTTTTTTTTTGAAGTTACACTTCTATTGAGTTTATAATTCTAGTAGAGTTTTACTGAGCAAGTTGTTTGGTTAAACATAGCAAGGTGTTAACGATCATGAAAATGGTTAACATAGCAAGGCGTTAACGATCATAAAAACCAAACTCCTCCACAAACTACAACCACCTAAAAGTTTGAGTTTAATTATCAATCAACCACTAAATTTGCAAATTCCGAAACGTTTGGTTCAGGTCATTAGGAGTTCAATTTGGATTTTGCGAGTAATTTTAGAGCACCTAAGCCGTTTGACAGCTTTAAATCACGAACCTTAAACCCCTGCAGTTTAATGTTTGTTTCTGATAGTTTCAGGTATCTTGTTTGTATGATGCATTATCAAAGTGGTCAAAACACAAATAACATATCTTGAAATAGCTTTCAATAATCCAACCTTGTAACTTCATCTAGCTACAAGGGCAACATTACACGAGTCTAAGATAGATTTCTGAAAGTGCATAAGCTTAAATTCTGTATGTATAACATATGCAAACTCATCAATAACTGGAAAAAGGGGGGGTCAAAACTCACAAAAATTACAATTGTGAAATTAACCAGGAAATAGGTTGAATGCTTATACCCATCTGAAGCCTAAAAGGCCACAATAAACAGATAAAACAAACTGTAGTGCACAAAAAATTGAAGCCGAGCCTCTAAAGCAAAATTGCCCAGGGAGAAGAGATCAACATGAAATTGGGGGTCTTACACACTGTATCTGCCTCTGTTAGATTTATTATCCTTTTTGGCATCATCCTGATACATTTGAAAATTTAAGGATTAGTATGTGATCCATTTGACTTCCAGCATGAACAAAAAAGCCGATGTAATACTTACATGAAAGCTGTAGTTAATTTTGTCTGTAATGTCAATTATATCTTTCCACTTCCTTCCAATGCCCATCTGTTCCATTGAAAACCAAAACCATGAATATTTGAACTACAGTGAATAGAACAGAGATGGGAATATAAATTAGTGTCGACGTCCGATAGTTTGTAGCAACCTACTCGCATACCCCCCCCCCCCGGCCCAAAAAAAATGTAAATAACCTCATTGGGTCTTATTAACCGTACACAGAACAGCATGAAAATAATGCATAAGGCACAAGCCAATCCTGAATCAGAATCGTAGCATGAAAATAATCATATTAGCATGGGTAAAGCCACAATTTTTGACTAATGCAATAATAAACATGTGAAACACATAATTAGGTGAATAGTGGTTTAGCCTAGGTGTGTGTCTTAGTGGTTGTATCTGCTTCTCTAGTTTATAATTAGGTGAGTTATGTATTCGAATGTTGTACTAGGCATGCTGAAGATTGGTCTTCTCCACTCCAGCACTCATTTAGGATAAATTAGGTGCTTAGCAAGTCCAGTGTGTTCTCCTAGGAGCCATCCAGCTTTAGGTAACTGAAGAGAAGGGGATAAATTGCCTGCAAGACCTTCAGTCCTTCACTTACACTTTGTTTGGATAGGAAGAAATGGAAGGAAAAGAAGAGAAGAGAAATGGAGGGGGACAAAATCTCTTGTTTGGGTAAAAGATTGGGGGAAGGAAGGGGAAGGAGAGGGAGGGATCCATTTTCCCTTTCTCTATAATAACCATAATCTCTCCAAAATTGGAGAGATTTGGAGGGAAAATGGAGCTCACCTCCCCCTCCTTTTCTTTTCCCTTCCCTTCCTCCATTTTCCCTCCCCTTCTTTTCCTTCCTTCTTTGCTATCCAAACAAAGCTTTAGTTCTTGAGCACACAGAGTCACAGACTTTAATCAGAAAGCAATCTCTACTTGACCAGATTCGAAACTAAAGTAGCAGTTTTTATTTATGTGAAGATGATGAACGTGTGTGCCAGACATTTTAACCACACAACGGAAATTAAAAGCATGTGATTTCATTCAGTAGTTGCAACAAACAGCTATTAGAAGTAAAAGACATCATTACACTTTCACCTCTTTATCTTATTCCTTTTCATTTTGTTTAATAAAATTGAACCAAACACCATCTCAGAAAGTCAGAAGCAAAAAATAAGATGCTCTCTCTTTTAAGCATGATGTGTATCATACTCGAAGGAACATAAAGTTCAAATTTTAAAAAGTGAACATTATTCTGAACTATGTCTTTTTTTCAATATCAGGATATGCATCATGCACTTGCGTGTAGGATATAATTTGAATGAGAAGAGCCAAAAAAAACAAAAAAAACAAAGTGAAAATGAGATACTAGAGCCAAAAATTAAATCAAAATCAACATTACACTGTTAATTTGCCACAAAATCACCAAGAGATTGCAATGGCAACAGACTTATTAGGCACCATAAATTTCACGATACCCTATACGCCTAGTCGCCTATACTCCCATAACTCGCCTAGTACTATTTGATTTAGTCCAACTGCACTCCCCTCCGATTCCTTTCTTTTTTGTAAAACTTCTTCAAATTGTTGGACAGTACACCTCAATATCAAGATACTCCATTCATTCAAAGTACTATATTGGTGCATTCTCAAATTGGTAATACTTTCTATCTTACATATTTATGTTAATAGCAACCACTTAAAAAGGAGGGTGTATATGACTTAACACTTTGTTTGGATTGAAAGAAATGGAGGGAAAAGAAGGGAAGGAAAATGAGGGAACTAGTATCTTTCATTTGGGTAGTAGAAGTGGAAGGAAGGGAATTGGAGAGAAAAGAAATGGAGAGATTAAATATCTCCAACAATGGAGAGATTTAATAGGAAAATAAATCTTTCTTCCCTCCCCTCCCCTTCCCTTCCCACCCCTTCTCCTCCCTCCCCTTCTTTCCCTCCCCTCTAATCTATCTCAACACACTGTAAGGAAAATCTGTCAAACCTTGAGTGGAACAATATGGCACAATTACTGCATTGCTCCCATTCATTTTCTACTGTTCCTATTGAAGGTTTGTGAACCAAGATAAAATAAAATAGAAACTAGTAGCACACAACACATTGCTGTCCATCCCAGTTTCATTTCCTGAAGAATAAGTGTAAGACCTCACAGAGAGGCTTCAATACACAAGCAAATTGATAGAATCCTTTTGTATCAATATAATCATGATACCCAAATGATTGGACAATACCAAACTCTTAACCAATAAATTACTTTTAAGCTCACAAACCACCACACCTCCAGCCACAAACCTGCAACCCAACAATGAAAATTTTAATTGTTAATCCTTTCACTAATCCTGGAAAATCTTTCTCATCAACAAGACCCTGCTAATTTGGAGCTAGGAGATGTCAAGTTGAGCCAACCTCATTTTCCAACAAGCCTATGAGATAGCTGTTGTTCCATCAACAGTCTCATGTTCCCTCCTAAGCAGCACACAGAAAAATCAAAACTGCTATTCTTATAAATAGCCTAAAATCTAGTCAATGAAGGTTGAAACTCAAGCATGAAGATTAATAGCAATAGCCATATCCCAAAATGTCAAGATATTAGTTGCCTATAGTAAAAAACTATGACCAAGTACCCCAAAAAGGAAACTATGGATTCTCTACCCAAAACACTTCCCCCTTGGCCATATTGATGAAGCCTTTCTTCAACAAACTACCAAGAACAAACCAAATTTACTAACTATATAGTCTCCTCTACATTTCATCCTTTCATTTAGAATCCCTGCTAACCTTGAACATCCATCTAGAGGCCGCTTAATCCCACAGTTACATTTTTCTCCCACCTATTTAAAAGACCTTCTTGATATCTCTATACATTAAATGGACATATAGAAGGCAAAGAACCAATTAAACTGCCAAGACCTAACTCACCTAAGTGTATGCCACATGTATTGAGTTATTGACTGTGGGCAGACATCAAAATCATTGAGCATCATTTCTACAAATTATATAAAAAACAGGCAACCAAGTACACTTATCCTGTTATCCAAATACATAATGCTATCATACACGAATACACTTTCAAATTCACTCAGCTGACATCCCTATATCTAAAGTCCAAAATCCATAAACCTCAAGTCCAGCAGAAGAGCATTAAGTATAAGGCCAAACATGAAGTTAGTAAATAGCAAACTGAATACACCAAGCTAGTTGACATTATAGTTCACATTGATAGCAAAAGGTATTTGCTTATGGCTAACACACATTATCCTTCAGAGAAAAAGTTATGCCACAAAATCAATGAATTAATCATCAAACCTGAACAGATTCATTCGCGGCATTTCTAGTCCACAATGAAAGCTTGTCACCCCTTGAACGTGCACTTGCAACCACACCACATATCTCATCAGCTTCATCAAATTGCTCCCCAATTAGAGCCATCAACTGCTCAAAAGCAGAATATCAATAATCAGTATTTAGAGGGGGAAAAAGGGTTTATTGGAGAAAGAGGTAAAAAAGTTTCTATTTAAAGTTAAGAAAATTACAGTTTCAAGCCACATTCCCTCGAGATTTGTCTTTCTGTTAGCAGAAACAGTCCACTTGCCTCCATGTGCACATTCAGGATCCTCCCATTTTGGTTCAATCCCATTCTTGAACAAATGGAAATCGGCGTTTCCAACTAACTTGCTGGGCTTGAATATTTGATCATATAGGCTGCATAAAGTATTCAATGTTCAAATCAAATGCACAACGTTTGACAGGAAAATTCAATAATAAGTAAGGATGATATTCTTTATTCCCCCACTCACAATCAAAAGGACATCTCATTCACCCAATAAAAAGAACACATACGATTCTTCAATACTAATGAATACAGCTCTTGCATCGCCTGAACATATTGTATTCCACAGCCCTCGAATCGTAGGATTCTCCACGTTGGAGGCAATAATTGCATTAGAAATAACCTAAATGACACTAGAATCCCCCTCCCCCCAAAAACAAAAAATCAAACATCTACATAAAAACACGAAAATAAGAAATCCCAAATAAATTACATGATCTAGCATAATATTTCCAATCGCCATATTCATGTTTCCCATAAAAACACATAATTAAGCCGACAATAAGTTAGATTGATGCCAGAGATACAATGAAAGTTATTAAAATTAGGGCACAAACATGAGCTAAATCCAACAAAAATCACAAAAATTAAACCAAATTAACTAGCAAAACTCTAATTGCAACACAGCATAAACAAATTAACACACCCAATTCAAAACAAGTAAAACCCAGTTCATAAAACAACAAATCAATCAAAGTTGACAAAATCTAAAACCCACCCAGAAACCCAAAATTAATCAAAATTAAAAATTGAAAATTTGGGCTAAAAATCAAAAGGGGAAATAAAAGATTACCACCAAAACTCTTCGACGGTATCAAAAGTATAGGCTTTCTTAAGAGTAGAACCCCAAGCAGCACCTTGTTTAGGTTTAGTAGTGTCAAACCAAAACGCCCACTTTCTCTCTAATTTGTGGGGTTGTTTGGTGGTTTCCGACGCTTCGTTTGCCGGCGGCGCATCCATGATTTCCGCTGCAACTTCGGTCGACATATTTTTGCGACGAAAAAGAGAGGTTTGTTGAATTCTTATAGGTAAAATTTGTGTAATGGTGTAAACCTCTCGAAAGGGGGAGATTGAGGTTGTCGGGTTCTAACTCTATATAGATGTTGGGTCTTTGCTTGGGTATGAGCTAGAAGGTCGGTTTGCTTATTGTATTGTTGACTTGGTTGATTGAGGTTTGGGCTTCAATTAAAGATCTTGGTCCATTTAGATTTGGGGAGAATAAGTGATGTCAAATCGGATGTGTATTTCGGGTTTGGTTCGAGCTCGGGTACAAGTTAAGGTTTGATAAAGTTGGTTCTGGTTTGTGAATCGCTAAACATCGCTAACAATAATTATCATTACCGTTAATATTTAGTGTAAATGGACAATCATGTCCTTACTACTTGATCAGTTGATCACCCTTGTCACCACCTACCCTTCTCGGCTAGGCGGCGACTAATGACCCCTTCTGACACGACCACATCCCCTTAACGACGACCCACCACCTTCTGAGTTGGAAGGTGGTGGATTTTAAAATAAATTAAATTCAAGGTATTATTTAACAAAAAAAAAAGGTACAATTCATAAATTGACTCAAAAATAAAATTTTCCGACCATTTTACCTTCTACTTTCTTACTCTGTAATAAAAATAAGTTAAGATTGGAAGAGGAGATTCGAACTAGCAACTTATCATCGACAACTAGATAGGTCTAGGTTAAGCTAGACCTGGCAATCCTAACCCGACCCGAATGATCAGATATGTGACCCGAAACCATTAACTCGAAAATGACTCAAACCTGAACTAATCCGACCCGAAAGGGAGTTGACCTGACACCCAAATGAACCAAACGAAATTGACCCAAAACCCAAACTTGACCCAACCCTAAGTGACCCAATTTAAACTCGAATTGATTGACTCGAATCTACTCGACCCGAAGTGACCTGATTCCTGAAGTTAATAGGGTGAAATGGTGTATTTTAGGACTTCTATCTTTCCTCAATATTAAGTACTCACGATTTTTTTTATTTCTTAATGATTTTACTTTATTTTTCCAATTATTATATTAAGTGAATTTATTATGGTGGCCCAAATCAAACTCCCGATCCGAATTGACCCGACCCGATATTAACCCAAAAATTGGTTTCAAAAATTGATCCAACCTGAAATGTTGACCTGAAACCCAAATTAACCGACCTGATTCAAACCCAACCCGAAAATGACCCGATCCGAATTGACCCAGTCTGAATCCAATCCGAATGACCCGTTTAAAGAAATACTCCGTAATCCAAATGTCAAGAGGAGCCACATTTGCAAAATTGCATGCAAGACTTGTCAACTATACAATTACACGTATCTTCCTTGCTGCCACGATATCATACCACCATTTCTACACTACTTTCCTTTTTGTTCCTTCATACGGAAGTTTAATTCAGTTTGTGCATGTTTACCAAATCTTACAATATTTCTACCTACATCAGATCATTGTGTAGAAAGTACTAGAGATCGTCGGAAAGTGTCTACATGGCGACGGAGTTGGCGGCGAAAAGCGTAATAGGGGTGACAGAGATGGTGAGGAGCTCAATGGCAACGGAGGCGCCATATGCCCCTGCGACTGCCGAGCGTAGGGTCCGCTCCGACTTGGAGGTTTCCCTTCCTAAGCCTTGTATGCTTCTATCTCATTTTCCTTAGCTTCCCTCTTTTTAGTACTACTTATATCTCATGCTCACAGAGTCTTTTGTTAGATAAGAGTTTGACCACATATAAGTTCAATAGAATTTCATCTAAAATTATTAGTACATACTCGTATTATATTGCATATAATAATAGCCTAATATAATAGGTACTATTGTGGTCTAAGCTACTAATTCACTAGGTCTATAATAAGATAGTCATTCACTTCTTATTCTTCAATGTGTTGTGTATTTCATTAGGACAGGCAATGCCTTATGTCAAATAAGAGTTTGACCACATATAAGTACAAAAGGTTTCATCCTAAAATTAATTACTCGTAGTACATACTCTACTACATATTAATAGCCTAATAGGTAGTATGATCGACTAGTAACTCAGTAACTCAATAGGTTTATATATTACCCATTCAATCACCTCTTTTTTAAGTCATTTCAACTTCCCAAATTCATTCACCTTTCCATCTTTAATCACATCCCATATAGCACTTTGGAATGTACATTGCCTATCAAATAGTGCCACAAAATCTTCAAGACGGCCTTGTTTTCACTCATTAAATAATTAAACTTTGTGTTGTAATGCAAATTGATGGCCTCTTTTTATATGTTGTGAAGATCTACCAAGAGCATTGTCTGCACCTGATACAGACCATCCTAACGGAACACCAGCACATCATCATCAGGGACTCAGTGTTCTTCAACAACATGCTGCTTTTTTTGACCAAAATGATGATGGAATCATATACCCTTGGGAAACTTTCACTGGTAAATTTTTACTTCCATTATTCGATAAAAATTATGTCTTGACCATATAAATTATTGACTAATGAAAATTCGTGGTCAAAATTTGAAGTTTACCCCAAAAATGTATAGTGTAGAAATTTGTTGGGGACAGAAAAAAAAAAAACTTGTTTATCTAGCTTTGCAAATGTTATTGTGGTTTTACAATTCTTAATTATAAGCATTTTACTTCGATATATAAGTGTACTATGGATGATCCCTCAGCTATTTCTTATTGCAGGATTACGCATGGTTGGATTTAACATTATTGCTTCCATAATCATGGCTGTAGTCATTAATGTAGCGCTAAGTTGGTACACTCTTGATGTAAGTACAGAGTAATTATATTAATTGTACTAATAAAAATAAAAATCAGCCTTAAAACTGACAATGTTCATTCATGTACCCTCACATATGAAGGGGTGGTTTCCGTCTCCTCTCTTCCCAATATACATACACAATATGCACAGGGCTAAGCACGGGAGTGACTCCGGAACTTATGACACTGAAGGAAGGTACATTCGCAAGTCCTTTCAAAGAAAAAAATTATGTTTCAAATACATATGTTAACAAAACCAAATTGTAGGTTTGTTCCTTTCAATCTAGAGAACGCCTTCAGCAAGTATGCTCATACAATCCCCGATAAGCTATCATTTAGAGAACTCTGGAGCATGACGGAGGGGAACAGGGTAGCGTTTGACCCATTTGGCTGGTATGCTCCATTTTTATAATTGAGTATGGTTGTCTTGTAAATTTGTGTGAGCATATTGAGCAAGATTGTGAACCTGTATTGAGTGTGGTTTGGCATATTACAGGATTGCGAGTAAGTTTGAGTGGGGAATGCTTTACATTCTTGCTAGGGATGAAGAAGGTTTCTTATCTAAAGAGGCTGTGAGACGGTGTTTTGATGGCAGCTTGTTCGAGTACTGTGCGAAGATGAATATGGGTTTGGAAGGGAAGATGTATTAAGCGTTTCATAGATCATCTACTGTAAGGGTCCGGAAGTATCATCAGGAGTTCTTTTGCTTTTGTAGTTAAAACAACGCTGTAGCGAGAAACAGTGTTGCATATCTGAGGACAGTGATGTAATGCATGTGGATAATGAAACTGCTTAGAGCATGCATCCATAGTTCCATGTATATTCGTTGCAAGTTGGTTATCCTAGCTCTGAATCTTGGTCTCTAGACTCTACTTGTCAGCTCGTCTAATATAAAACTTATAACTGAGTTTGTAGGTGCTTGAACTTTCATCAAGACTGATTGGGCACCAGTAAGGCAGTAACAAATGACCTATGCTCAAAAAATCAGAGCTGATTTTTAGACATGAAAAGGGAACCATAATTCTAACAGTATAAGAGCCATCCTACAACTTAGTAATCTTTGCGATGTGTAATCCTTGTAGAAGAACAAGGTTGAATTGCTACGTGACCTCTTAAATGAAAGAACTTGGGTGTAAATCTCCAATATTATGCAACATGCAAGCAGCAGAGTAACACAGCCTCACAAGTTCTCCAAAATTAAACAGTACATAGTCATAACTCATAATTATCCAAGTTCTCCGAATTAAGGGAGCAACACAAGTCCAAAGTCGCAAGTTCTCCAAAATTATGCCCAAGATCGTAACCAATGACACGATAACTGGCCGGGGGCTTCACTGCTTCAGAGCTAAGTAGGCAAGTAGCTAACAAAAGATGCAAAACATATAACCACATCACTCCATCAACAAGGTTCTCACTATAACCACACTAACCAGTGTGCAAGGGGGAAGAAATCATTCAATTGCACCTACTCTATGCTGTGCATCTTTTGCACAACCAAAACAAAAGATGGCACAAATTTGAATCGGATGGGTCTGTAAACAGATGATTGATTAACATTTAGCAGATAAGTGAATTGCAAACAACAAAATGTATTTAATCTCTACTATAAATATCTTGCAAACTCACAGATTGACTTAACACATCCTACCAAACCGGCATTGTTCATTTATCCAACTACAAACATTCAGGATTATAGCAAAACAAAATTGGAAACTTCTGAACGATATCTCTTAGACAATGGCATTGGCAGCACTAGCAATCCTTGGCCACAAATCGGCACACTCCTTTCCAATGGGACCGGTAATAGCAGATCCTGAAACACAGAGAGAGATGGATTAAGACTGGGATGTATAAACAATTATATTGTAATCAGCAATAAGCAGAGAAGTAAACTTCATGTATAGTAAAATCGTTGGCATAATAAGCTTTTTATGTTCTGTTTGTTCAGAACACACCCACAGAGGTGAAGTTTCTAATGCTTTATGTCTCGGACAAATGTTATAAACATATACACTGAAATGCAGCCATGTCAAAATAACAGAGAGTTCACACCTAAACACATCAGATGCTAGTCTCAAAACATGTGAATAGACTTTTTTCAATTTAACAAAAACAGAAAAGGGTTGATTGTGTACAAGTCAAAAGCTGTAAGAAGCAACTTGTACAACATTAATTCACAAGATTGTGTTGTGTTTTGGATCATAAATCAACACATCAGGAAATGGGATGTAGGGTGCAAAAGGTTCCATTGATAAACAGCAAGGGAAATCTTTGTAACAAAATCTTGATGACAAGGGAAGTTTACTTCACCTACCTACCCAGTCCTCACTTAACATTTTTTTTTTCTGAACCACTACATAAGCTGATAAGCATGCTACACATTCCCTATAAATTCAGGTTTCATGGAAATTGAACAGTCTACCACATGCCATGAAATTCTAAGTTACCATGTCAAATTACTCCTGAAATATGTGTCACAAAAATCCCACATAATATTCAAAGTTGGTGCAATCACATACCTTTCATTTCACCCTTGGGGTTGACAATTACTCCAGCATTATCTATAATAGAAACAAACACAATTGATTGTCAGCAAAAGGTAAAATTCAATTAAAAAAGATTTTTAAAAAGCAAATCAATGCATTCAAGAGATATGATTTACATGAAAAGGAACATCTAAAATTCATTGAGTCCCATAGGAAATAATGCCAATCAAACCCCTTTTGTTCTCAGTCACACAACTATATCATCTCCAAAATCCGAATTAAGTTCGCCTAACAACAACTAAATGGGAGAGATTATGAAACAAGCACAAATTAAACTCATAATGAGATGAATAACAACCTTCAAAGTACATGAAGACACCGTCCTTTCGGCGCCATGGCTTGCGTTGCCTCACAATAACCGCAGGCATGACCTTCTTACGGAGATCAGGCTTTCCCTTCTTGACAGTAGCCATGACCATGTCACCAACACAGGCTGATGGCAACCTGTTGAGTCTACCCTTAATTCCCTTGACGGAAATGATGTACAGGTTCTTTGCCCCGGTGTTATCAGCACAGTTCACGACGGCTGCCACTGGAAGACCCAGTGACATCCTGAACTTGTTTCCAGCACTTCCTCCACGTCCTGCATACCCCAAAATACCAACATCGAATCAACAACAACCTAGATTAAAATCTATCATAGTCTAACAACAAATTCCCCAGAAATTTCATCCAAAGTAGATGATAATGCATTCAGATAACCAAATCTACAAATTTACATAAACTGCAAATTCTCCCCAAGCTGCTAACTTTCCATTTCTTAGTACATCAATGTTATTATTCCCACAAATGAAACAAATTTCATATTAATTAAGCAAAAAACAAATACAAAATATATTAAATAAAAATAATTACATTTTCATATTGGGGATTTAGAGAAATGCATTTCTAATCAAACCCATTTGCGGAATTAAAATGGGGAGTTCAAAATTAAAGCAATACAATAACAAATCAAGCTGGTAAAAACTGGAAACTTGATTCAATTTCAGCTCTACTTTTAGCTAATTTAATCTAACTATATTCAACAGCATAAATCTTTAAATAACAATTGAAACACAAGTAATTGAGGGGATTTAATATTATAATTAAGTAAAAAAAAAAAAATCGGAAACGAACCTCGCTTCGACATGTTTGCCGCAGTAGAAGAAAAAAGAGTAACAGAGAAGAGAGGCGAGAAAGACGACGATTAGGGTTTATGAGGATATTTATATACCACACCCTTAAATTAGGGTTTCGGCTTCTTATTCTCACTTCTGCTGTTCGGGCTACATTTCCCAAAATGACCTTTTCTGAGTATATTTTTTTCTTTTAGGAATTAAATTATTATTCAATTTTTTTAACAAACTTCCATATGTGGCTTATTACACTATGGCGGGGTTACTTACTCAAAGTTATTTGATCGGTCATGGGTTACTTATTAGGGGTTATTTGGTCAAAGATTGGTCAAAGGTTATTCGGTCGGTCAAAAGTTATTCGGTTGGTCAATGATTACTCGGTAAGTCAAAGGTAACAATTTTGATTTAGGGTTACCCGTTTAGTAATTTGGTGTAACCAAATAGAAAACGCAATTTTTTTTTATACTTTTAGTACTCTATACTAACACCAACGTTTATACAAAGTAATCCTAAGTCTAAAATAAACATTTACTTCAAATCAATAGCTTCGAATTAATATCAAGCAAAGTTTGATGGAGTTGGTGGGGAACTCACCACACGACACTTTATTTAGTTCAATTGACCCAGCCTCAAGGACGGAAAGAGAGGTTAGGGTTTTTCCTTGATGAAACAAAGGATGCCTAAGCATTTCGAAAACCCATATCATTCATTAGTAAGTGGAGTTGGTGAGAAGTTCACCTTGTGACTTTAAGGTCAAAATTTCCAGCCCACTAACTACAAAATGCTTTGGAGTATGGGGAATCCCTTAGCTCCCCCTTCTACTCTCAAGCGTTGACCTGTAATTGGGTTTATATGTTTAAGATAGCAACAATAACAAGTTCACACAATATTTTGAAGTTCTGATTTCAAATATGGTATATAAACACTTAAACCGAACCTAAATAATGTCAAGCAAAATATCCGAATCTTCCATTTGATCATTGACAACAAGTACATCATTCTTCTGAGTACAGATTAATATCAGCAACTTGTACAATTGACAAAAAAAAAAAAAAAAAAAAAAAGAGAAGACATTATACACTACTTATCTTGAAGTGTTTAAGAACCTACTTACCCACACACCAATCAACTAAACACACAAACAATATTGCTAATAAATATAAATCACCCCCGTAAATATAAGAAATTTAAGAGCTCTAAAAAAAATCGTGTATAATTAACCTAATTCTGATTTACCTGCAGCTATAAACACACATACAATGCTAATCTAGGTAGATCTAGAAAAAAAAAAATGTTGATCCTTTCATGACCTTCAGTCCTGTACATGTTTCGGACGAAAGCTTGGGCACTGAGAATGAATAATTGCCACTGCAATTGAAAAACATTGCAAAGCTGACATAAAAGAAGGCTGGAAGCTGATGAAATACAAGCCTTCGCGTATGTTCACCATTTTTATTGGGGGCGTTATCTGAGCAGAGCCCTGAAAGAAAAGTAATGGCATGTCAGTTTATCTCGACAATTTTACAGGTGGAATGCATGATGATCAAATGCATGGAAATACAAAAATTTTGAATCAAGAAGTTCAAAAATCATGCATATCAATATATCATAAATGGAGATAGAATATTGCTCAGGAGATAAACTTTTGATCAACATGCATCTAAACACACCAAAAAACAAAATAAAGTAAAAACTGAAAATTTACAATTCAGCTTCTTCTAAAATATTCACGATTCAGGTTAATTTTATCCATAGAATAATGTGTAGTCCACTAAATGAAAATAAAAGCTCTTGTCAAACATGGTTAAAGAAAGAGCTACCAACAAGGGTAAAAAGGCCAGCAATGTTTGCAAAAGTTTCCAATGATTTCAGGTAATTAACAAAATGCAACAAAAATCATATACAAAGTACATGATTAAATAAGCTAGTCATGTTTGTAACAATACGGGTTCATTTGTGTTCATAGGACTTCATACCATACAAGGTTTATGTTGTCCTCAGGTAGTTTTATATCAAGTTTTGCCTTCATGTGTCTGAAATTACCAAATCTTATACGAGATGTCATGTGAATAATGTGATATAGAAACTAAAAGGACAAATGATCACATAAAAGGCCATCTAAAGTCTAAACCCTCTAAGCGTCTTACCTGTCCATAAGCTAATGACTAAAAAGCCCACATGAGTAACACTAACCTAGAATTAAATCTTCTTAAGACATTCATCACCTACTTTATGGCATGTACTGTGAGAACCTTTGAAGAGATTCACTGAAAGATTTAGCCACAATGAGGTATATGCATAAGAAGGCATCATTTAATGGGTAAAAGGTCATAGCACACACCTCTGTGAACATCTCAAATGATTTGCAGTCTTCCTGTGCCTCTGAAGACGGCCAACCCTCTTCTTTTTTTGGCTTTGCCTTGAGGATTTTCAGAGGGCAACCAGTGTCCCATCCACCACAATCACAGTTCCCACCTGATCTCCATCTGTCTATGAGATTGGTTGGTCCTCCGTTCCTCGTTCTTGGCCCACCGTGAGGACCAGCAGGCACTATAATATCCATACTCGTAGAACAATCCCCAACATTCCTCAGACAACATTCAGGAGAGGCAGAAGCTTCTGAAGAAGCAACATTTTGCTGGCTCCCAGCTTTCTTGAGAAAGTTAAGGCCCCAACCTCCAACTTTTTTCTTCTGATGATCTTCCTCTTGTAATCGGGCTTTCACAACAACTGCAGCCATTTCAAGATTTGGTAAAAAATCATCTTCTGAAAGATCAGGTTTGCATTCTTGATATGAGTTCCAACATGCTTCTAACCCCTTTTCAGGAGATAAATCTTCAGGAATAGCACTTGAGCCACCAAACAAAGAGGGGGTTCTCTGCTTAAACGAATGACCAGCCTTAAACACATCCATAACCTTCGACAATTTCCTACTTCGCCTACTGTTACGGGAAAAGGTATGAATCTCTCTGGCCTGATTTTCATTAGCACCAACAAGAACAAACTCAGTTTCCATAATTCTAGAAGTACTCGAAGAAAGAGAAAAGGCTGTTGAAACCTTCATCTTGCCTATTAAATCAGGCTCACTGTAAGATATATCATACATTTTGGGGCCAGTTGCTTTCAAATGAAAAGAGTAGACATAGTCCAGTGCCTTATCATTGGTTACCTCAACTCTCCATGCATTTGCCACATAAACTTCTTTCTGGTCATCTAAAGTGAAGGTAAAACGTGGAATTCCGTTATCCCATGTAAAATGAAGCATTCCTTGAGAACCAGATGGAGAAAGAGAAGATGCAGAACACTGATCATTGAGGACAGATCCTCCACTTCTTTGTACAGAATCTGATCCATACCCCCGGTTCCTGAGAGCTGAGGATTCCTTTCCAGGCTTGCGAATGGGACTAGCAGTTAAGCTGCCAGGAGAGCCGTGGTAATCTGAGGGAATGCCTTTTTTATCTTTAAACAAGGTATTACCTCCAGGTCTTGCATTATGATCTAAAATACCTAGTCTTTGAAACAAAGGGCTCCTCAGTATTCTCATCATACTACTGCTTCCCATAACAGAACCAACAATATCTTCATCTCCAGAACTCAAATCTAAATCTCCAACCCCAAGGGCCATTGGATAGTCAATTGCATAGCTTGTCACATCTAAGGAACTTCTTCCCCCAACTGATGCATGATCAGACACAAATCCCAAATCCAAAGAACCCAAATTTACAGATAAAGAACAAGGAGCTCCTTTCGACGCATTCATTTGCATGAGTTCCAAACAATGCTTCAAATACTTCTCATCCAAACTTACAACTTGCTTTGGGATTTTAACCCCTAAGCCACGATATCTTCTGTGAAACAGCTCTTGAAACCAGTTTTCACAAGTTTCTGACTGCATCAGCTTTAAAATTAGTGTCTTTCCAGGTTTTCCACCTTTGACCAAGGTCTGTGCTTTAGAATCCGACATGTACAAAGCACTTTGATCAGCTGATCCTTGGATACTGCTACAGTTACGCAATAGCTCTCCTTCATTTTGTTCATCTTTGTATCGGTCAGCACAAGTGTGCTCCATGCTTAACTGCACTCAATCAAGTTCATTCGGGAACGACACAGATGTCTCTCTTTCCTTCCCAACTGCACCAGTTGGAAAACCAATTTAAGCCTGTTTCCTTTCTAGGTCAAGTCTATCAAGTGAATCTGACATGGCAATATAAAGTTTTTGCATCAGTAAATAATCAAGAGGATGAATCTACAACTAAATAACACATTACATGACACACACACACAAAAAAAAAAAAAAAAAAAAAAAAAAAAAAAAAAAAAGGTTACCAAAATATTAAATCAAATGCTAGTTCATTTCTAAACAAAATAAGAGTTAAAAGACAGAGAGCCACAGAAGAGTAGCAAAAGATTTGAATGAATAAGCATGCAGAGATGGCCATGTAGCTGATTTACCAAAAAGCAAGCACTAGCCGGCCCTATATCCTAATGACCGTTAGACAAAATTAAAAAGCATTATATAGAGACTTGTCAAGATGGTATGAAGAAAAAGGATTACACCCCATCTACAATAAATTGTCACATATACTACTTTAAAATGTTCAGCTTTCCAAACATTGAATTGGTTTATAATTAGATTTCTCGGTATGACATGATTTAGAAGTGATAGAGCGAGGATGAATTATTACAATTCGGGGTCTGGTAAAATCAAGTCACATCCTTAACTACGACGAGTTGAGAGGATAATGTGACAACAAATTCTGTAACAAAGGATTAATTCTAATTATGGGGCCAGAGGCCAGATCAGAGAGCAAAACATTCATAAAGGCAATACAATCAATTGGTCAGAAACAATCAAGTAGCACACAAAGTATGGCTAAAGGTCTCAAAGTATAGAATGATTTCATGTAATTGTAACTTGTAGGACCCGAAGCCGGATTAGGGAACACATTAAAGTAAACCAAATCATAAGGCAGTGCAAAAATGCAATCAGTAGAACAAAATTTATCAAGTAGGTCTCAAAGTATGAATTTCTTAATCCTGTTCGGAAGACCACATGCAAAATACAATTCATCATATATTAAACAGTAAAAAAAATTATTCAGCTGTTAAGGACCATTAATATCATAAGCCAGAAATAAGTCAAATAACAAGTATATAATTCAAGCAAAAGCATATACTATAACAAATGGAAGATTCAGAAATTTTCTAATGCATAAATAAGTCCAGTCTTCAGAGCTACAATCCATTAATGCTCAATATACTAGCAGCATAATCGAATCTCGTCTACATAATTGCCCTTTGTAGCTTTTGCTACACCAAGAACCACACAACAACAGCCAAACATAGCATGAAACTCAGATTTACCACAAACATACTAATCAAAAGAACGGCAACTAAGTCAAAAACTAAATTCAAGTCGTTTATCAAATACTAGTCAATAAAAACAGAACTAACAATCCAACTGAGGAAATAAAAGCCCAAAAAAAAATCAACATTAAAATGAATAAGATAAGTGAACAAGAAATTATCACAAAACAGAGAATCAAAACATTCCCCACTTATAAAAATCAAAACTTTAACAAATTACCTTGAGTGTAAGATCCAAAACCAAAAACCCAGATGAAAAAACCCAACCAATTCCCAAAAAAATTCACAACTTTTTCATCCCTCAAACTTAAAAGTAACCGCCCACCACCTTCTCGACGAAATGCTCCAATGAAAAAAAACTGTTGAAGAAGAGATAGAGAGAGAGAAAGTGGAGAAGAAACTAACTGAAAATGGGTAATTAAGGTGCTAAAAATCGTAAGCCACGTTCTTAGTTGAAAACATACAATTTTATTTTTGTGCTCCAAAAAAAAACTAACTTGGAATCCAAAATTTCCAAAGGACCCACCTAATTTTATAGTACTTCCGTCCTAATTTAATTGCCCAATTTTTCGATTAGTCGTGTTTTAATTTACTTGTCTTATTTTCTTTTCTTGAGTTGATTTCACATTCACTCATCCACTCATTTTATTACTCCATAAGTTGATATTTTACTTGTATTATGAATACAGCGTATAATTATGGGGCAATATAACGAAGTATTTTCATTGGCCAAGCAAGGACTTTGGGTTATTGGTAAGCGAGGACAGAGAAAGAGGAAAGTCTGAGCTGTTGAGCACACACACATACAAAAGTCTTGAGTTTGACTGAAGCTGACAAACAGGTTTTTTTTATTTATCTTTTAACTTTTTATATTTTAATTTAATTAAATATTAATGAAAATGACTGGTGAGAGAAAGAGGATCAATGTGGTGGGGAATCGTAAAATCAGGAACATATATTCGTACAGAGTTGATAAATTTAATAAATTGGTCAATAAAATATTGTACCTTATGTTTGAGTTTTAATTAGATTTTTAGTTATCCTCGGACATTTATTACATCTTGGTTGCTTTCCTTATTTGAGTGCTTTCTTTGTTCCAACCTTCCAAATCACAATTGTTTTTCAAGATCAATGTTTCTTCATCCTAGATTCCTACTCACTTGTTAGACCTTGTGAGGTGAGTTGAAGCAAGGACCAAAACGATTGTTTAACGTTACACTTTAATTGTCAGTGATTTTAAATAATCTAATTGAATTTAAGATATGTTCTCGATGATATATTTTTAAGTTACATGCAAATTCAATGGGTTTTTCATTTATACAATTTTCTTTGTTGACCAAAACATTTTATTTTCAATAATATGATATATCCATATCAAATTACTTGTGTATTTTTTTTTTCCCGATCATGTATGATTGCTATACTTCCTCACATTTAAATGGTCGGAGTTGTTATAACAATCTAAGTATTTAAAGAAATAACAGTTTATGCTATGTCAATTACTAAGTTTTGTAAGCTGATTTCCCTATTACCATTTCAGTGTGAAATAATGTGATATGGAGAAGTTGGTAAGTGTTCAATGGATAAGTTGTGTGTAAGAACTAATATAAAACCTTTGTCAAACATGCAACTACCTAAGTAATGGCTTGACTTTAAGGAGATTTCAATGCAATCTACCTCACACGATTACTGTGAGCTTGTGATAAATTTGGCACATTTTTGACCTTGTATTGTCATACTCTTAACTCTTGTCAAAATACTTCTTTTTTTAAAAAAAAAAAAACTAACTCTTGTGGAAATATTTAACTCTTAATCATATCATTATAGCTTTATTAGCATAGGGTTTGGAATTCATCAAACGGATGTAAAAATTAGAATCTCAATCTAACGATAATTCTTTCTAAACATGTCATTTTTAATTTGACTCACAAGTAGAACATACAATACATTTGTTTCATCCCTGTCGAATTACAAAGTTTAAAAGAGTTTTTGTAATGCTAACCTTATTTCTAATTAATAAGCCTAGCTAATTTTATACTCCACTTAGAGTTAAGGTGCATTTTTGCCCATCCCCAGCAAACTAATTCAAATATTAAATGGGTTTGATACATACAACCTAACAACTAATTATAATTAATTAAAATATATCTAATTAAATGACACCATTACGTATACATGGTACTACATTGTTTTATTGCTTAATTAATAATTAATAATTTTGTTCGTACCATCTTATAGTTAGTAGTTACTCTGTAGCTTTTAAATCTGTATGATTGATTACAAATTGAAGTATATAATTTTCCAACAAATAAGAAGGATACAAAACCGTACACTTTTTTTTTCGCATTAGATAAGCTAAAGAAGTGGTCGATTTACAACACCAAAACAGCACAAAGAGTAAATAAACAAAATTGAAAATGTATCATCAAAAACAGCAAAATACCACATACACATCTTTAAGTTAGTTCAGGTTATTATTCACTTTCCCATTACTCAAAGCAAGAGCAAATATAATATTTTTTGCTTGTCTTCAAATATTCTCTAAATACCCTAATTTACGGATAAATTGATACACACCAATTATAATCGGTTGATTAAAATTTTATTTTGACGTAGGCTAGGTAAATTGAACCTTGATCTAAGTTATTATTTAAAAATTAAACATTTGATTAGGAAGTTTTGTCTTTTAGAGCTGTTAAACTACCTAACTTTTGGAAAAATAATTGAGTTTCAAACTGTTTTATTTTATCTCGTTTATTCCAAGACCCTAAATTTGAATACAAAAATATTATAGCCAATAATTGACAATTGCTAAATTTAAGCAATTTAGCTCAATCATTCACACTATTCTTTATATATTTTTTTCTTGAATGTTTTGTGGAACCTCTATTTAAATTTAAAATTTGAAAGTTGATATTGATAAGATGTTAAACTGAAGTATTTTGGTCTTGAATAGTATCTTGTTTGGCGTTTTTGTTAAAACTTTATACAAGTAGGTAGTTTTGTATTTGTATATTTGTCTTGAATAATGCTCCTTATTCAATTAGATTAAACAAAAAAAAAATCAAAAAAAAATCTCATTTTCAAAAACAAACGAAAATGAATGTAAAAGTTAATTGGTGCACTTAAATAGTCTACAACTTCACTGCTTTATTTACCAAAACTTTAGAAAATTCTACACCAAATCCCATAATATGGGAAAGTACAAGCATTATAATATCCACATATATGAGATAACACAACAATAATTCCTACAAAATTACATTGTTATTTTTGCTCATTCTAAATTGCAAGAGAACTACAGTATATTATCATTACATTGAGTATTATAATATTACTTCAAGAAAATCTATTCCTTAAAATTTATTTATTCCAGAATTTGAAGGTGTACAAACCCTGATCATTTACCAAATGCCTGGCCTTCCACCAAAAATATAATTTGTGTGACTAATTTCATTTAAGACCCTTCTTTAAAGTGTTGTGCTTTCATTCAAATCCAAGATTGAATTTGTTGGTAATTGCATTTAAATGAATTCACACCACTTATATGAGCAAATATATCCGAGGAATCTACCACTTCATCTTCTTCTTTCACCATTACCTGTAATTTTACTTCATACATTAGACGAGACTCCTAACATACCTAATAATAACTCGATCTGAATTACCTATCTCAAACCAAAGTTGTACACGAAATAATTCATACAAATTACGATATAATAATATAACTTATTTAGTTATTTATTTATACACGGCAAATAATTTGACCTGATTATAACCCGATACCACAACTTTGTTTGACACATGACTCAATTTGAACCGACTTGACCCGAACTTTTCAAAGATAAAGAACTTACATCATCATAATCATCATCTTCATTGTTGTTGATATGCCTATTATTCTCTCCAAAATCATCATTCTTTGCAAACCTTCCTCTGACTCGAGGCCGGCTATCAGCCAATGTCTTGCGGCAAGCATACTGTAACAAATTTTACATGTTCATAATCTTTTTCTTCGGAGGAAATTTGCTGAGTAATAAAACAAAAAAAATGAACCTTAATTTTCTTGCTGAAATTCCTTTCATTTCTTTTCTTCATGTATCTATGAATCTTTTCTTTCCTCTGTTCAACAGAAAGTTTGCCAACTTTGTAGGTTGATTCTTCCAAATTTCCTATTTCTGTTGTCATTGGAGCTGAACTTGTTGCTGCACTTCCCAATTGCGAGTTTTCGTTGCTAAATGCCTACAAAAAAACAGTCCAAAACCCAAGAAAACAAGTTAATTAATCTTGTTTTTTTGGTCGATTTTAATGAACATATATAAAAGACGTGTAATTATTGGTTCATGTAGTCGACCCCATCCTTCAGGATTAAGGCTTTCGTGACTTATTTAATCATATTATCTTTTAATTTAATGTAAAAATCGAAAAAAAAAAAAAAATACCTGCATATCCCCTGAATTATAACGAGGCAATTGATCAGGGCAGAAAATTCCACTATTATCTGCTTGAAAATCCAGTTCTTTGGGTTGTAAATCCGATGCCATTAACAAGCTTCCGGCGAAAATACCGGAATTATCAGCGCCTAATCCAGGATTAAGATTCCCATGCAGGAAAGAGCTCATTGAAGGGTCAAGAAAAGAGGTAGTAGTAGCACCTGCTGATGGGTTTAGCCTTAGGAAAGGTGGGATTGATGATAGGCAATCATCCTCGAAAACCGGGCCTAAAGGCGGTGGGACCACCGCCATGAGGGGGAGTGCTATAGGGTCAATTGTGTTAGGGTATTGGTTAAGGCTATTGCTTATTGCAACATCATTTAAGGATAGATGATGGTATTGGTCTTGTTGGGTGTTGTTGGTTGGGTTGAGGTTGTATGTAGGGGTTGTGGAGAAGGGTGGGGAGGGGGAGAAATCGATTGAGGCCGATATGTCATTGTCGATCTCTACTTGGGGGTCGAAGATTATAGAGAGGCCGCTACTGTGGTGGTTGTTGTGGCGGTCTTGAACTAAGGTATTGGCGGTTGTGGTGGTGCTGCCGGAGGTACTAGCATTGGTAGCATTTTGATCATTTTGTAAGCTACTATGTATCTCTAAGTTTTCGGTACTAAACTTGTTCTTGTTATCTTCATCAACTATCGCGCTAGCATAGGAAGAGTTTTGGTCCTCATAACAATAACAATTGGGACTAGAAGTGACCTCAGAATTTTGTAAGGTATCAGTGAACAGGTCGGTGTCACAAAAGTCAAAGATTTGAGCGCTGATGTTGGGGATCGAAATATCATCCTACATCCAATTAAAAAAGAACTAATGTTAATAGAGTGTAAACAAAAAGCTTCTAACACGTTATAAAACTTTAAATCACCTTCAGGTCCTTTGAGTTTCTCATGTTGAATGCTATTTTAGTTTGCGATTGAAGCTTCACCAACAACCTATGTAGAGAGCTAGCCTCTCAATGCCATTCATGCAGGATATATAACACTAAAAGGCAAACCTACGTCTTATGTTCTAAAAACATGTCATGTAGAGTTACTAATAGGCATAACATGTAGTGTTTTTATACCCCTAAATTGCAATGATAAGCAACATCTTTGTCAATTTCTATACCATTCCACATCATTGATGTGTGAACTCACCCAAACAAAGAAAGAAGATTT